TGGTGAAAACTTCTTTAGACGCGTTGAGCACTTTTTAAATGAAAAAATATCATGGAAATCGCGTCGTCGTCACCCAACGCTTTACATGACCTATATGTGTAATGTGTGTAATGTTCACCCAAAAAGTACACTTATACTTTTTGGGTGAACGAAAAGCGTGAAACTCGTGTTGACGTCATCGAACGCTTCCCTTGAGCTATTTTTAAAAAAGGAATACTTACTTACGCAAAAATATATTTGTGGTTATGGATATGATATAAATATTGTTATTATCGTTCGGAGTGCCTATAAAATATGTAGAATTAAATATTATACAGCTTTATTTTTTATATTGTTTTATGTTTTCCATTCTGTCGGCAGTCCCCACGAGACTGCCTATGACTGGTATAAGTTCGACGTATTAAGTATTTACGAAAGTATTCCACCAACGGATGTGTATTATCATCGGCAAATGTTTAGTTCAATCGATGTTTAGTGTATAGGGTTTTGATTTCCCAATACCCGTACATGCGCCCGCCCTAGCCCTTCAGTTTACTATTTTGTATAAAATGTTTCAGGACAAAAGCAAGTATGTCTATGTTTATATTTGGTTCTAATGTCGTAAGTTTTTCACCGTTTACCGCATCAACGTCAAGTCAAGCAGTAAGTATTGCGAGTAGTAAAGATACAGCAGATATTATTTGTCCCACAGCTGGGCAAAGTCCTCTGTATGGAGGGTATTAGGGCATAGTCCACCAGGCGACCCCAATGCGGATTGGCGGACTTCACGGGTCTTCAATATTTCTTTATTATTTCGAAAATATGCACGTTTCATTATGTGTAAGTGCACGTGATAAGGCACTTAAAATTAACAAGTACAATCGTGCCGGCGCCGGGGATCGTACTCAGGTTGCCCGAGTATGTTGAATTAAAAACGATCGCCCATTACGAGACATTGAGCTATCACGGCATGGAATTGCAATTGGAGTGACATGAAAATCTTATGAGTCTGCCTAGTTTAGGTGATCATTCACGCTCTACAGGATAAAACCCAAAGAAAAGATTGACTCGCATACGATTAATGTGATTTAAGTTTGTAGACAGTTAATATCTTTTAGCCACTCAACTGATTCTGCTGTTGTGCGAATGAGCAGGCTGGTTTGAGGAAGCATGAATAGCAAGAGACAATTGTTATGCTAAAGTATCGTTTTTTGGTATGTGAAGGACCTCAGCAAACAGGGGAAGCCCCGGCTCGCTTGCCCAACTCATCGCAAAAATTGAAATGGAGACCGAAAACCATTCAAAGATGACATACATAACTTTTTTTACTAGTGTTAAAAGAGTTTTCGTATTCAGTAAAATACATCAAATTTTATTTATTGTATTTTGAAGTTATACTTCTGTAGGCGCATTATGAAAAAATGATGAGAGTGAAATTTTAATATGCGCGCGCATCACTGTAACACAAAAGTAACACCTTAGAAGCTGCCCGCTAAACCGCTTATTTTTTTTATAAATGGCAGCATATTCTCAATCACTTTCGCCCGTTACAGTTCTCAATAAAGAATGTAGATGGCGTTTTCATAATTTTATTATTTTTATTACTTATACCCTTTTTCAGTCTTTTTATTATTTTATTGTAATTAATTATTTGCATGCAATTAAAAACTTCTCACGCGCGTACATAAGTACCCGCACCCATTTTTTTTTATATTGAAGGCTAGTTTATGGAAGAGAATTAGAATTTTGTTGATAGTTTCGATTTTTTTTAATGGATAAGGAGGCAGACTAGCACGTGGGCCACCTGGTGGTAAGTGTTCAACGCCGCCCATGGACACCAGAGACACTCGCAACACCAGAGGACTCACAAATGCGTGGCCGGCCTTTGAAGAAGATGAAGGCTCTCTTCATGAAGGCCAATCAGTTAGCAACTTGTTTGTGCGTGGCAGAAAAAAGAAAAAACAACGCACAGTCAACGAGTGCAAACCAATTAGTGGTAGCGATGATACTTGGCAATTTCACAAATTAACACAGAACTCCTCAGAGCAATCCCCATGATTGATTAGCGAAAAAACTCAAATAAATGAAACATCTCTTGCAAAGTCAAAGAGGCAAGACAATTGGAAAGGACTTTGTTGACGACGATTGGAGCTGCCTTACGATGGACGCAGTCAAATGGAAAGAGCTGATATTGTGGCCGAATTTGTGCTCCGTAAAGCTGCAGGCGATGGGACGGCAGGTAATACTGCCTCACTATATCAATTTATATATCACACATTGGCGTCGTCGAGATATTCCGAAATGGTATAATATGTTTTAATCATTAGTTGATTTTTAATTTTACATTTAAATTGTTCAAGCAGCAGACTTAATATCGACTGTGGGAATATACCTAGAAAACCAAGAATTTTAGAAGCCAATTTGGCTTTATCTTCCAAGTGACCGTGAAATAGAACGCCGCTTGATATCAACACGATGAATTCCAATCGAGTCAGTGGTAAGAACGGTCCCAAAACAAACAATTTTAGAACACCCTTACGTATAAAACTCTAAAGTAGAGTTCATTTATAAAGGTCACAAATAAAAGTCACAAATTGAACGAGTTAAAAAGAGATAAAACATACTGTTAGAAGGAGATATTTGTAATGCGACTCTGTGGCAACGAACGAAAAAGTGTCTGAACGTATGAATCTGTCAGTTGTAGTTGTATAGGATGTTACAAATTAAGTTTCTTTCTTATTTAATTAGTTTGTAATAATTTCTTGTAGTTACGCGATTACACATTATAAATGAAACTAATTTTACGGAATTTATCGCGTTTATTTTTAATTTTAATTCCTACTACTTAAACATTGCCTAACATCCGGCTATTTGCTTTGGAAGGAGGAATTTTACATTGAGATAGATGGTGTAGCAATGGGCTGCCCAGTATCTCCCATTGTCGCTGACATATTTATGGAAGACTTTGAGGAGAAGGCCCTTCGCACAGCTCCCATTTATCCAAGGTTTTATAAGAGGTATGTAGAAGACACCTTCACCATTTTACCAACAAGTAAAGTTAATGCATTTCTAAATCACCTTAACTCAGTAAATTCCAAAATACAATTCACTATGGAATTAGAGCATATAACTCTTTAGCTTTCTTAGATGTTTTGGTCATCCGAAATCCAAATAACACTGTAAGTCACACTGTGTATAGGAAGGCAACCCATACAAATAGATACCTAAACGGTGATTCTCACCACCATCCATCCCAGTTAGCTACCGTGGGTAAATCTTTGTTTCAGAGAGCACAAGGGATCTGTGACAAACAACACCTGGCCGCTGAGCTTCAACATGTCAAGCAAGTTCTGCATGACAACAAGCTTCGAGCACCGCGCCTACGTCACAGTGACCGAGTGAAACCAGCCACAGTGGAGCGAGTACCTGCTGTTCTACCATACATCAGAGGAGTCACCGACAAGATTGGCTATATCTTAAAACAGGCTTCAATTAATACATTCTACAAGCCGCTGAAGAAGATTAGTCAGTTTTTACCATCTGTCAAGTGTAATATCCCTCTGCAAGATCCAGGAGTCTACAAACTTGACTGTGAATGTGGGCTCTCTTACATAGGACAAACAAAAAGAGCAATAAAAACCCGCGTGAAAGAACATATAGCTGACATAAAACACAATAGATTGAACAAGTCTGCAGTTTGTGAGCACATTTTAAATAGGCCCAACCACTACATCAGGTTTGACAAACCACAGATCCTTGCAAAAGAACACCGATTCCTCCCAAGGATGATTCGCGAGGCTATTGAAATTAAAAAACACCCTAATTTCAATAGAGAAGAAGGTTGGGTACTACCATCAGCTTGGGATCCTGTCATCAATAAAATTAAATCTAGGCCCAAACGAACCACTACTGCAAGACAAGATACAATTAGCTCCCTCTGCATAGATCGGACACAAAATTAATAATTCAAAAACTGACGGTAGCCCGGGTTAACTATGACAATCAGACGTCTAACACCTCAGTCTGTCCCGTGACCATGAACGCTGTAAAGGGTTCGAAACGTCGGGAATTAAAATTAAAAATAAACGCGATAAATTCCGTAAAATTAGTTTCATTTATAATTAGTTTGTTTGAAATCTTTTTTTTAATTATGGATTTTTTTAATGATTATATTTTTTATGATTATTGGCAAGCAGCGTTAGACGCGTGTTCATTTATTGCCGCGGTTGTAACGACACGCTGTATAGCTAGCGACCCGCCCCGGCTTCGCACGGGTGCAATGCTGATACAAAATATACTCTACAATGTTTCTCTTCTATATTATGCATGTATTATGCACATAAAAATTCCCCTGAATCACTCTATGTAGTAAAAAAAAACGCATCAAGATCCGTTGCGCAGTTTTAAAGATCTAAGCATACATAGAGACAGCGGGACGACCTTATTTTATACTATGTAGTGATATATATAATTTTATTTATTATGTATAAATAGTATATCATAATATAAGAAAAACAATATGTATGTACTTATATATGTACGTAAAAGTTATACTTTTTTAGCGTAACAAAAGAAAAATAGCTAAAAATTTTATCCCCTGTGCCGCCTCTACTCTTGATAATGATTTAATTAAGTAACTTGGAATTATATGTAGGTGTCAACAGATTGTATTTTTAATTTCATTATCAATAATTTAAATATCATTTTGTAATAGACATAATGTTTATAAATTATTATTCATTTGATTGATAAGAATTTCAAAGTCTTTTCTGTCATTTGTGAGACATTCGAAGTTGTGAGTACATATAAAAGGGAGAGAAGGAAAGTAGGTACACGTACAGTTTCTCAGTTGTTTCTCGACCAGCAAGGTTTTAACGTGTAAGGTACGATATATTTCTGAGTATTACTTACGCTGTTTATAACCTTGTTATGTTAGAGTAGGGAACAGCAAAATTAATTGCGGTAGTGAATCTACAAATGATTGCTCTGTATTGTATTATATAAGTTTACTTGCATATTTCATGCAGTTGCTCAGTTACTCCTCGACCACCAAGGTGATAAAGTCTAAGGTATATTTCTGAGATCTGAGTGATTAATTACTCTGTTTATAAACTAATATTAATATGTTAGTTAATGTAAAAGTTATTGCTGTATATTTGATAAAATAACAAATTAAAAATGTATTCTTATAAAAATATATACCCAATTGTACGTTTTTAAGTTATTGTTAAGTTGATCGATAAGAATTTCAAAAGTAATTTGATGTTTTGGAGAGAAGCAAAGAACTAGCTCACCTAGTTGGTACTCGAGCTCGTTGCTCCTCGATCGGCAAGGTGTTAACTTCTAAGGTACGATATATTTGTGAATGTTAATTACGCTGTTTACAACATAATGTTTTTATAGTAGTTAATCTACAAATTATTGCTATATGTTAGTAATTGTATTACCATAATTAAAAAAAGGGAAAAAATAAAGAACGCAGAGTTTCTTGCCGGTTAGTTTGGACCGGTGGTTGCTTTTGACGTTATATAAAAGCTTAAAATATTTTTTTTTTATTACATTTAACACCTTAAATGTTAGGTATTTAACCTTTTATTGATAAAATAAGTAGATATCTTTTTAATTATAAGACCAAAGCCGAATGAAGTATAGCTTCATAAAGGTTTTTAACATTTTCAATGGAAATGTCTACCAGCGACCTCGCGCGAGCTGATTGAAAATTTTACGTGCGCTCGGCGATCGTGTGAGTCTGAGAACCGGTTCGATTTAGTTCGCTAGTTCGCTAGTACGGACCGTGGCGGCGCAACATTACTCGCGTGGCGGGAACGCCATTGTCTGTCATTGGTCTGTCAGTAGCGAAGTGTGCGTCGAAATGTACATAGTGGCGCTTTATAACAAATTATAGTAGTGATTATGTCATGCTATATTTAGCGTAAAAGCTAATTAAGATTTTTTAACGGTGCTGGATTGAAAACAGTTAGTTTTGCGTTTATGACAGCGGCGGCTTTGCGAAAACCAACTGACAGTACATAAAGGTAAAGTATATATTTGTTTTTATTTCCTATCGATACAACACTAAACAAGTGGTTTTTCGTGTAACAGGATAAATGTGTAAAAATACTCGACTTTCCGGGTAAGTGTAAGATTTTTGTGTATTGACTTGATTGCGTTTAATACGCACGCTAAACTTTCTTTATCTAACTAATAACATAAAACTTTTGAAAGTGTGCGCTGCCATCGAAAGTAAAAAAAAAAAAACACGCTGAAAAGTATTTGTTTGGAATTTTAGCAAAATTTTAAACTTTCAATTACATACTGTGTTTGAAGTGATTATTTCATTTTATATGTTACATATTATGTATAGGAATAGTATACAAATATATAGGAATATTGTAAAATTAATAAATAACGACTCGGTGGCGCGGTTGCTAAGTTACTCGCTTTGGCGTTGGGGTCGTGGGTTCGATTCCCACGCGGGATAAGTATTTGTGTGACCCACAGATAATTGTGCCGGATCTGGGTGTTTATTTCCCAAGGGTTGACGTCAGGAAGGTGAGCGTTCGTAAAAACATGGGCAAACCCGCTTACAACATGATTCACATGTTTGTCGACTCCACCTAAGTGGGATAAGGACGAAGATGAGTGTAAAATTAGTAAAATTAATCATAAGTCCAGAGAAAGCACCAAAAATTAATATAATTTACCTTTTCTTTTATTCCATTTACAACATATTTTAGGACAAATTTTTACACAACGTTCTCTAGTTCCAAACTAACCAATGCTTGTACTATGGGTACTAGATAAACATAGTTAAAACATACTTTCCTTCTTTTATAATTTTTAAAGTTTTATATAGTGCTAATCTCTGCACTTAAGATTGGACATTAAAACATGTAGAAAAAGTACGAAAACATTGTCGCCGCTGTGGGAATCGAACCCACGTCTTCGGCATTCGCGGCCTGACGCTCTAGCCACTGAGCTAAACGGCTGATAGCCACAGCGACGAAAATATTAACGCCTTCAATCTACATTGTTATTTAGCATTTGAAGCAATGCTTGGTGCATCTATTGTTTACATCCTTTCCAGCATACAAACAATTTCGAATATCGTTTTACAACAACAGCGGCGACAATCTTTTCGTACTTTTTCTACATGTTCTAATACTTTTCTTTTGTAAATAAATACATATTATAAATATATAAATACCCAGACACTGGAAAAACACTATGTTTATCACACAATACTTATCCACTAGTGGGAATCGAACCCGCACCCTTTGGCGCAGGAGGCGGGCCCGTTTATGATTTTGTTTCTATAAAATTGTTAAGCGCGAGCTATCCCCAAAATATCACATATGATCATATCATAATAAGAACATCATTATTATTATTTTTTTTGTGAAAAATTGGCACGCCTGCGGGTCATCTGGTGTTAAGTAGCTACCGCGGTTGCAGATGCGTTCAAACCAATGATGTTATATACAAATACTAGGTAGATATCACATCAGCGCACCGAAACTGGGGCCCTCAAATGACACCAATTGGTGTAATTAGATTGCAATTCTATAGACTGCTATCTCTTTCCGTATCATACGTTCTGCGTCATCTGTCACATTCACTTATACAGCGTGTCGTTACCATCGCGACAATAAATGAACGCACGTCTAACGCTACTTGCCAATAATAATAAAAAAATATTAACGTTAAACAAAATCCATAATTAAAAAAAAAAATATTTTTCAAACAAACTAATTAAGTAAAAAAGAAACAAAATTTGTAACATCCTATACAACTCCCGCCACAGAGTCGCATTACAAGCCTCTCCTTCTAACAGTATGTTTTGTCTCTTTTAAATTCATTCAACCCATTCATATGCTTTGTGACCTTTACAAATGAACTTTACGTTACAGTTTTATACGTAAGGCTGTTCTAAAATTGTTTGTTTTGGAAAATTTAATAACTCGGTAAATATTGATGTTTAAAGAATGTAAATGTTTAATACAATTTTAAAAAGTTATCCTCTATATGTGTGTTCATTTATTGTCGCGGTGGTAATGACACGCTGTATATATGTCATATGATGTAAAGCGGAACAATTTTAAGCGCCGCGGACATGCTTCGTCTACATTATTAAACACCATTATTGCCAACCGTTAAAAAAGTGGCGGCAATAAACGGAGATACCACATGCACAGGTGTAAATAATAAACATGAGAAATTTCATATTCGTAAGTCTTACCGGATTCGATCCCGTGACCTATAGATAGCGAATAATGTCGTAATCGTAAAATTAGGAAAATAAATTTGTGATTTTGAAACCTTCATTGCTCACATTAGACATGTGAAATAACACTTTTAATTTATTGTATTATAACGTGTTTGAGTTATCTGATTTTTTTTTATGAAGTACTTTCATTTTACTGTAACTTGTAGATTTTTACTCCTCCGCGATCAGTTCTACGAGCGATGTGGCCTGCCCACTGCCACTTCAACTTGCATATCCGGATATGATAACACTCTGGAAATTAATTGATCGACTCTTTCAATTGGAATTTAATATAATGCACACATGTTTGTTATTTTTTGTCAAATTATATTTAAAAAAATTGTCGCGTTGAGTTTATTTCGCCTTCTTCTCAGATCTTCTGTAGCTTCTTTTCAAAACCGTTAGTAGTGTTTTCGACAATCAGTAAGTAAGTGAAATACTAAAACTAATAAAGATATTTACATCTTCTTTTGAAATTTAATGTCATGGAAACCTTCGATCGTTTTGTTAACGTCGTGTAGAAAATTAGAAATATACTTTACTAGCTGTTGCCCGCGACTTCGTCTGCGTAGAAAAGGCTGAAGGCGTAACATTCAGACACGAAGACAGATTGTTGACGCGCTAAGCGCCTTACAAAATTATACCATACACATTCTCGTCATTACACGGTTATAATATACCGAGAACAAGAAGTTTTAATTTTCTCCTTAATTCAAAAGCATTCACAGATATACATAAAAATATGTTTATAAATTATAACCTATGTGTTATTCTGATGTATAAGCTATATTATTGTAAAGTTTCATTAAAATCCATTCAGTAGTATTTGCGTGAAAGAGTAACAAACATCCAGCCATACATACAAACTTTCGCATTTATAATATTAGTAAGGACTAGCGGACCGGGCAGGCGTTGTCTTGTACACTGGACTTAAATCTTAACCTTAAAAAAAGTACTACCGATAACTTAAAAAAACATTATATACAGCGTGTCGTTACCATCGCGACAATAAATGAACACACATATAGGGGATAACTTTTTAAAGTTGTATTAAACATTTAAATTCTTCAAACATCAATATTTACACAGTTATAAAATTTTCCAAAACAAAGAATTTTAGAACGCCTTACCTATAAAAGCGTAACGTAAAGTTCATTTGTAAAGGTCACAAAGCATATATATATATATATATATATATATATATATATATATATATATATATATATATATATATATATATAAAGATGTTATCATTTACACGATAGATGGCGCAATAATTTTACTGCAGTGTTAAAGTTTAATCCCCACGAAGATCAATCACAAATATTTGAAGTGTCGCGATTAATACTATGTTTGCACATTCTTGCGAAAGCGGTAAGTGTAGTGACAATAATTATGACCCAATATTTCACGCGGATAGGGTGACCGTTCAGTAATTAGAAGTCTTGACAGGTAAAAAGACACTAAAGAACATAAATGTAATAAATAAGTATACTAATGTTTCATTATAGATTTCATATCATTTACTTAAAAAAGGTTATTTTATTTAAGTTTTCTTTTTTTTTTATTAAAAAAACATTACCCTTACTTTAGGATAACATTATCCTGTGTTTTAAGGACATTTTACAAACATAAATTTCACGCGGACTAACACCTAGATGCGAAACAACTATCTGTGGGCCACACAAATAGTTGTCTCGTGTGGGAATCGAACCCACGACCCCCGACGCCGAAGCCAATGGCAACTGCGCCACGGAGTCATCAACTACTTGTCTTGTCTACTTTTTACCCCACTGATATAATATTGATATATATATTGATATTTTTGGGCATACAAAAAATTTTGAGACATTTATGTTCACAAAAGTATTCTTTAACATAGACCAAACATACATTGATCAGGCTTTTCAACAAAAATTTATTAACACAATCAAAATGAAGACCAGAAGAGACAAGAAGAAAGTATTTTTCAATTTGTTCGCAATTTTTTTATATTATTTATTATAATTTTTTATAGTATGTACCATCAATTTACTTGTTTTTTTCTTATATAACTTGCTGTCGTCGCATACTTGGAATGTCAACTGAATGTTATAATATTGCCTTTGTATTATTATTTAAATACGTTGTCATTCTGCTTTGTGATGCTACAAATAAATAAATAAATATATATCTGCACTAATTTGAAAACACTGACGATTTTAACGGGAAGGTTACGCGGGAATTACTTTAAAAATGTGGCGAATGGACCTATTGAATGGCGAATGACGTATACATGGCTGCTATTTTAATACTCAGGTAGACAAAAACACACATAGATCAAAAGGAAATCCCTGGATCGCATTCTAAATTTAGTAACACTTGGATACGAATTGGTAATACCCTATTTGCGCGTCTATCGAATCTGGCTTGTTTTTAATTTTATCAGACTTACCTGAAAGAAAATTTTCAGAAATATCTCAGTGGACTCGAAAATATTACGTCAGAAAAATTTTTCGCGTCAACATGGTTTAACTAAAATTGTGTATTTTCACTTTACAGATGCTCAGAAATTTGTTGGTTCTGACGCTGCTGGGGTTATGCTGTGGACAGACCGATGGTATGCATTATTTTTTTATGTGGAGAAAGTGGCAAACGAGCTGGCGGTTCACCCGATGTAAGGTGATAACCACCGCCCATGGACATTTGCAACACCCGTAAACGGACGGTTGCAAATGCATCGCCACCTTTAAATAAAGTGGGCCCTGGCTACCTCACTCACCAGATGAAACGCAGAAATGTACTTCTACAATACGCCGGTCTTCTGTGAGGTCGTGGTACTTACCCGGACCGACCTGCCCATTCGTGCAACAGTGAACACTGTTGCGTGGCCCTACCACCTAAATTCCTTATAGTTATTTAAGCAAATAATACACATCCCTAAATCTAAGATCAAGGAGTGTAAAATATTGACCGGGAATGTGGACAATATACATATACAATATTACAAACAATATGAGCGGTAAAGTCCCACGTGAAGGAAAATATAGATGACATAAAACGTCATGGAACTCGCGTCATTATCAACGTAGCTTTCCATGAGCTATTTTTAAACATGTATATGCAAAAATGTATTTGTGTGGATATTATATAAATACTGTTATTATCGTTCGGAGTGCCTATAAAATATGTACCTAGAATTTAATATTATACATGAGACTGCCTATTATTTTTGAATCTCACATACGAGTATTATTTATTCGTGTGAAAGGTGTAATGTGGAGAACGTTCGACCTTCGTCGTTCATTGACTGTTGACACATCCCTCCGGATAATGAAGTGAAGTTCACTATATTTCCGCAGATTTAACGGAGCAGCAGAAACAAGAGGAGTTGACGCAACTGCTGCAGGAGATTTTCGGCAACCCGTCATCCACTCCCGCACCTACTGAAGCCATTCCTGGTCAGTTATTTCATCATCATCATCATTTCAGCCTGTCTGAGTCCGCTGCTGAACATAGGCCTCCCCTACAGACTGCCAAGAAGCACGATCCTGAGCCGCCTGCGTTCATCGACTTCCCGCACACTTGCACAGGTCATCACTCCATCCTTACGCCTAATAAATTATGACTCATTTTTGTTCTGTTCCGTTTGTCCAATGTGTTGCACCGAATTTCTCGAAGTTCTTATGAGATATGCGTGGCACTTTATGGCAGAAACTGATAATTACGAGGGTTGATCCGAAAGTAATGATAGTGAATGTAAATCAAGGATATTTTGCTTGATAAGTTAATAAGTTATACCCATCTTTTTATAAACCTCGGAAACCCTTAGAAAAAAAAATGTGTGCGTGTAGTAGCGTACACTCGTAAGAAGTGAAACTTTTTTATGACATTATTTTTCAAAAAATAATTTACTATATGCAACTTTACAGAAATTGGTTAAATAAAGTTAAATTAGATAAAGTTTAATAAAAGGCTTTTATCATAGACATAAATACAAATTCTACAATTATTTCATTTTAGCTTTGTATAATATTTAGTTTCTTATTTGTAATACATAGGTGGCGTTAGTAATAAATTAAAACACACTATGGTTTGACCGTTGTAATTAGTATCAGGGTCCGCAAAAATTGTTGATTAAAAAACTTGCAACGTGAACCTTGTTTATTTCAATTAATCTCACGGACCCAAAATACAACCGCTTTGAATTTGTACATGGTCCTTCGTTGCCGAATAGTCAGCCAGTGAGTAGAAGGCAGACATTCGACTCGCGCGCGAGTGTTTGTGAGTGAAGTTTTTTTGGAAAACCGAACTTGCGGACGTTGGATCGACGTCGCAACCGCAAGTTCCAGGAGCCGATGTTATTATATATTTGTGTTATTAATGGCTTATGGTAACTGAAATACGAAATATATTGTTTACATTTTTGAATTAGAATTAAAATAAACCCTTTGATTTTGCTGATCACTTTAATATAACATATATATATATTGTTATGAACACACAAAGGAACTAACGCCATCTAGCGTCAACTATTAAAACCACAACAACAAGATGGCGCGTAACGCAAAAATGTTACACTAAATTTTTTTCCAACCCCGATAAAGAAGTTTCACTTCAAAAAGTATTTGTCTTGACCCTCTCAAGTAGCGTCCACAGGGGCCATCAATTGGCTACCATCTTCAAATGTCTCGCCTCGATGGTGTTCCTTGAACCTAAGAAAGTGGTAGAAATCACTGGGAGCTAGATCTCGCGAACCGGGCGGGTGTTAAAGCAATTTAAATCCTTTTTCTTGAATTGTAGCCAATACAACTGTAGCCGTATATTGTGTATTTGTGCCCGTTAGTGTCTTTGAGCCAAGTACGCGTTTACAAAATTGGTTTTTTAAAACATGAACTTTTAAGTTAGCAGAAATAAAAAATAAAAAGAAAATAATGGCCTAGAAAGCGCATACACACGTTACCGAACTAACAAATAACGGTTCCTGCTATCTAATATAGGTGTGTTGTCAACGGCTAATTGTGACCATTTCATAGCGCGGTGCTTCATTTATCGGCTGCCACGCTTTAGGGAGTTAACTGATGGGCCCCTAATCCCTCCAGTTGGAGGCTATTGGCACCAAGAAAATAACCGATTAGCATTACTCGTGGATCACCCCCCAGTACACGTGTCACTTAATGACCAAACGTTTAATGACTGGCACATGTTTGACAATTAATTACTTACCAACTAAAATAATTATAAATTATGAGTCATGTGTTCTTTTTTTCTAGATAAATCGTCGAAATGTTTTTGGGTCTTCGGACCTGGAGTTGAAAAAAAAATCCCATTTAAAGTAGCAGTAGTATACACATATTAAACGTTGAGACAAAACTATGTTTCTTAAATTTTCCTTCCTTATGTTTGACAAATATTCGAGTTCACGTGAGTTTACGTATTTATTTAAAGCAGTCACTAATTCTATTAGTAAATGGTTACTTTAATATTTTAATTCTGCTATTTAATAACTCTTGGCTCTCAAGACTCGCATATTCTTAACGATCTTCGTATAGTTTGCCGTTTTGCTTTAGCATGACCTAGGATATAAATAAATAAATCACCCAACGTAATCTAGTCCCAAAGTAAGCAAAGCTTGTGCTATGGGTACTAGATAACTGATAAACATAGTTAAACGTACTTTTCTTTTGTAAATAAATACACATTATATATTTATATTTAAACACCCAGACACTGGAAAAACAATATGTCCATCACACAATATTTGTTCAGTAGTGGGGATCAAAGCCACAACCTCTAGCGCTAAAGACTGGGTCAGTATCAATTATTACGCCATGGGGTCACGATATGAGTTCTTGGCTCAAATCTACGAGATTCAAATCTGCGGCGAACCTTTCGAGTTTGATCCCCACCAAGGAAATTGTGTAAAGAAAACGATGATTTTATAGTATCTGGGTAAACACCCAGACTATAAATAATAAAAACATATTATAGACACATAACCATGTATCTACAATATGTATTTATTTAGAAAAGTAATTTTATAAAGTACCTTATATGGGATGTGACGAGATTTGCCTTGTCCGAGACTGGATAGTATTAGCAGCCCCGGATCTAGCCCCGGGCGGCAAGTTCAGAGGGCGGCAAATTCACATTTTACAGACGGATGGACAACTCATAATTTACTCAACTTTTCCCAAACAACTCGACCGATCGACCCAAAACGCGGAGTGAGACGTTCTGTACGAAGATTATTATTCGCGAGGCGCTGTCTATCTCTTGCAACAGATCTATGCGCATGATTTGCAGGATGCTTTTTCTAATATTAGGTCCTTACATTTATGAAATTAGCGTCTTGTCATACTGACCACTTTGATCTGAAATATCTCCTCTTTGGTTAAGACTTCCAAATTCAAATTTATATATTCATTCCATATCGCACAATGGAAAACATGAAATATCGGTACATTTACGAGTACGAGTTCTACCAGTGCACCAGAAACAGCTCTAAGGATTAATGATATGTAAGGCGCTGGTGTCGCAAAAGAAAGCACGGTAAAAATGAAGAATTAAAGGCTATTGTGGAAGCTATTGCAGAAGCACTTCAGAGATAGCTGCAGGCTTCGGGGTAAGTGATAAAACTGTATTAATTCACTTGAAGCAAATCGGGAAGGTAAAATAACTTGAACGATGGGTACCTCATGAATTGAGTGAATCGAACTTGCAAACACGTATCTACTGCTGTGTTACTTTGCTCAACCGACACAATAATGAAGGGATTTCAAATCGAATCATTACTTGAGACGAAAAGTGGATACTGTACGCTAATCGGAAGCGCTTGTTACAATGGCTGAATCCTGGAGACCCAGTCCAATCGAAAGCCAGCTAAACGTAAATTGACTCAAAGAAGTTACTCGTGATTGTTTGGTGGGCTAGGGCCGGTTTCGTTCCCTACAGCTTCCTAAAATCTGGCCAAACGATTACAGTAGATATCTATTGTCAGCAACTGCAAACCATGAAGGAAGAAATAGCTGCTAAACATCCGAGATTGGTCAATCGCTCTAGGCCACTGCTGCTTCACGACAACGCAAGTCCACAGACTGCACAACAAACAACCACAAAGTTAGATGAGTTCCAGTTGGAATGTCTGCATCCACCGTACTCCCGGGACCTTGCTCCAACAGATTACCATTTTTTCCGGAATTTGGACAATTTCTTACAAGGAAAAAATTCAACTCCGATGCGGCAGTCCAAACCGCCTTCAAAGAGTTTATTGATTCTCGCCCCCATGTTTTTTTTAGTAAAGAGATCAATGGTCTACCTATGAGATGGCAAAAGTGCATAGATAACAACGGTGCATACTTTGATTAATTATATATATTTACGAGTCTTGCAATCTTAGCGATAGAAAATAGAATTGCACACGAGTAAAATTATGACAAGGTCATAGATTTATTTGCTGAACAAAAAGCTCGAAGAGTAAAATTGTAATTTTAATTCACAAATGCAATAATATATTTGATTTTAATTTTTATTATTTATATTTTTATATTAATCCTATCCTGTGCTGTGTATAAAATATAATTATATCCTACACGTTTATGTCTAATCTATAAATAAGTTGGCTTAATACACACGGAAGAAAGAAAACAGGAACGCTTATAGTTTGAAATAAATAAATTGTATCTTAACTGGGGCTTCGAACGCCAAAGTGGAAAAATTGCATTGTCACATAGTACATTTGACATTTCTGTAAAACTAACCGTTTTGAAATATAAGATTTAGAGTTTAAACCGTCAGATTTACAGAATTTGTCAACTTTATTTGAAACTGTATTTTTACCACTTTCGCGTTTGCCACGGTACTATTTCAAACTATAAAAGTTCCTGTTTTCTTTTTTCCGTGTAAAAAAAACAGCAAATTTCCGGAAGGCTTATGTAGGCTTTCTTCAAATGGCAATCAATTAGTGGACATCTGATAGCTGAAATTATACAGGGAGGCTTTTCTAAGTGTATCCATTTTTATAATTAAATTCTAAAATGATAAATATCACTCGTAATTAATTAAATACTTTCATTTGAACTTATCTCGAAAAGTGCGTGATTTATGGGCAACTCAATTATTTTACGCGCGATCATTCGTAACTAACACGCACATAAGTTCGTTCATTCCGCTTCGTGCTCTCGTACGGAACGGACGTCTCTCTAAGACGGAGGGCACATGCCACCCGAATTAGACGCCACCCGCAACCTCGGTTGCAATTTCAATCTTGTGCAAATAGTGCAACAGTTTATTGTTAGTGTAGTGTTGTGCTCGTAGGCAGATTCCTGTTTGTAAGTAGAATCCTACACACACTTCTCGCCTCAGAGGCGGCATTGTTTCATTTATTAACTGTGTGCTTGTTGCAATAGGCGACAGCTAGGTACCCATCCCAGCGCACCTAAAGCGCAGGCAAATTTGTTGT